GCTCTCTCTCTCCCTTTCTTTCTTTCTTTCTTTCTTTCTTTCTTTCTTTCTTTCTTTCTTTCCTTTTTTCTTTCTTTCTTCCTTCCTTTCTTGCATCCAATTCAGTCCTTTCTCATTTCATTATGCCATTTCTTTCTTCATATCCATTTCCTCCTCCTCCTTCCACAGTTCCCCCTTCACTTCTGATCTCTCATAGTCTTCCTCTTTCCCTTCATCATTTGTGATTTTTCTAATTTTAGGACACACGAGGAACCATACAGAAGATCTGCCAGTTCCTGGGAAAGAAGTTAGAACCAGAAGAGCTGGATTTAGTCCTCAAGCACAGCTCCTTCCAAGCCATGAAAGAAAACAACATGTCCAATTTTGAAATAATCCCTGAAGACAAGATTTCCAACGGTTTACATCTTATGAGAAAGGGTAAAAAGAAATGTTATACTTTCAGAATGTATCAGAATTCATGGAGGGCTTTCTTGTACCAAGAGGACTCTTATGATTAAGGTGTTTGAAGGTGTCAGCATTAACTGGTAATCACTTAGAGAGGTTCTTAATTGCCAGAATAGGAGGATCTGTCCATGGGACTGCTGTGGCCTTTGGCTACATCAAAAAAATTGATGTGTCTGTGGAGAGGAGCATGGAATAGTGGTGGTCATGCTGCGGTTGCCCGATGGATGACTTAGCAATGAGAAAACCCCAGAGCAAATAGTACATAAAGCATAGAGAAGAGGAAGTGGGTAAGAAACCCCAACCCCATCTGAGGAGCTATTGTCATCCAAGGATTTGCTGGGGAGGGGAGATTCAGTCTCCTTTAACCCTGAGACCCTTAGTAGGTTGACCAGGTTCCAGTGGATGAAGCTACACTGAAGGGAATTTGGGGACACAAATTTGACTCTGTAGACCTTTGACTCTCTTGACCTCTGAAGAAAATGACTAATACATGGAACAAAATAAATATGTGGGATCACAAGTCCTAGAGATTGCTTCCATGAAATGGTTTAAAAGATGTTGAAAATGTCAGGACTATGGCCCTCAACTGGTCAAAATACAATTGAGCATTAGGACTCAAAGGAGAATTCTTTGGCCTGAATACCCGATGCCACTTGCTTACTTCCATCTGGGTTGCTTCAGGCTCAAGACTCTTCTTTCTGCAGTGTCTCTCCTGGAATATCTTCCTATACCCACCCTGCCTCTTTATTCTGAGAGCAGATAGCATGTGTGGTTTCACAGTGTTGCAGATATGGGGTAAGTTTTTTATGATAAATCACACCCAAGCCTCACTTGGAAATGAGATAGACTTGGAGTTCAAGAAAGAACAGGGTAAGATATTTAGGTCTTTGAAGACAGGTGCGTTAGGAAAGAACATGGCATAGATGTTAGAAGTAGAGTGTTATGGGTTTAATTTTGTTACATCACCAAATAAATGGGGCAACGACAAACTTTTACCCTCCCCCAACTGATGTGAGTATATCAGATCCCAAGAACATAAGGGTATCAAGCACTTAAGGAACAATAAGTTAAAGTGAAGCTTACGGGATTGTCTTTAATTCAGTATTACTGATGTCATTACAAGAGGAAATTTAGACAAAGGTGTGGGCATTCCAATACATGGTGTGAAGATGGCCATCTACACACCAAGAATAGAGGATTCTTGGACAATTTGCTGCTGCAAACAGATGACCTATGAATTCTGGGGTTCAGACTGTGCGGGGAAAGAATTCTCAGCAACAGAACTAAAAGTTTCACCTAAGAGAAGCTGCCCATTCTTATATTTCTTGTTATGAATCAGAGTTTGGCAGAGAAAAAACATTATGTGTATGTAGAAAGATGTCATGAAATGGTCCATAGAATAAGTTGGCTTGTTTAATACAGAATACGTTCAGAAACTGATAACCTACAGTTTTTGCCAGAGACACACTGGGGCAGATGCAATAGAATTTGTTACACAATTCCAGGAGAACAATTGTTATGCCCCACTTTCTAGGAAGATGATTCCAGGAAGCAAATGGTCTAGGATTTTAGTGCCATTTTTACCTGTAATGGCAGTTAGTCATTATAATGGAGTTATGTAGAAATGCTTGATCTGACTATATAAATCATTCATAATTTAGTTATCACTGTAATTATAAAGGACATATATTTCTTTTAAATTTGCAGAGTACTTTTATCTTAGGGAATTATTTTTCTCAGAATAATATGGCAATGGACACAGCTAAGACATCACGAGTCTCCTTGGAATCAGGATCACTGAAACTAAAGAGTAACTCTGTAACGACACTACATAAATGCGCAGGGAAGGAGAGATGGATACATGGGCTAAACTTTTGAAAGAAAGAAAAGGATACATGGGCATAATACTGTTTTTTCTCAATCCCCAGATCAGATCAGTATCCTTTCTTCAATCTGAAAGGTATGATCCAACCCCAGATTAATTTTAAAGTTAATGCCATCATTTGTAGTTACATAACTAATTTAAAAATACTTCTATTGTCTTCAGAGTGTCCTATGTATTTTGATCATATTCTCCCTTCCCATAACTACCCCAAGATCCAACCCAGGTTACTATCTACTCGATTTTATGTTTCCTTTCCCTCTCCCCATCTATTCCAATTTATATTGCTCGAATACTCCTGAATGTGAAACCAGCTCTGGAGCATGGTCAAACTACCATAGAAAATACCCTTAAAGAAAACTGTCTCTTCTTCTCCCAGAAGTTATCATATGCCAATAGCTTGTCAGCCAGGGCTCTGACTTTATGTCCACCTCTCCCCTCCATTTTTTTTGGCTTGAAATTGAGCAGGTCTTGTGCATGCTGTCACAATTGCTGTGAGTTCACATTGCAACTGCCCTGATGTCTAGAAAATGCCCTTTACTTGTGGCGGTTCACCACTTCTCACTCCTACAATCTTTTCTATGTGTCTTCCCTAACTATCTCTGAGATTTGTGATGACGGGTGTGACATAGATGTCTCGCTTAGGGCAGAGCATTCCACAGTCTCTTTTTCTCTACACAATGAGTACTTAGGGGGTCTCTGTATTAATTGCTATCTAGTGTAAGAAGAAGCTTCTTTGATGAGGGTTGAGAGCTCCTCTAATCTATGGATGTGATGCTAAGTCAATAGAAATAATTTTAATTCTATGTCCGTTAGTAACAGGATCTCCTCCAGGGCCTATTCATAGGCTCCTGGCACTGATATCTGTGACATTTATGGGTTCCATCTCTTTCAAAAGGCCTTAAAATCTAATAAGAGGGTGGCTTGAAACTTCCATTGATTTACTTTTTCTAATTTTTTATTGAATTTTTGTGTATTTCATACAGAACATCTTAATCAATCTTAATCATCTTTATACCCTCCTCCCCACTGGCACCCTCCCATATCCCCCCATCCCACTGGAATTAATAAATACTGTCATTTATATTAAGGCCTATCATGTCAAGTTACTGTCCCCAGACATCCCTCAGTACAAGTTCATTCACTGGGGTCTAGTCAGCGTATCTAGAATCCCTCCCTTTAAGAAGATCAGCTCTCTCTCACTCAGCAGTAATCATATGCCAATAATTCTTCAACTAAAACTGGGACTTGTTGCTCTTATCCACAGTTTTGTGCTGGGTTTTGTCTGCTTGAGTTTGCATAGGTCTTATGCATGCTGACACCATTGCTGTAGGTTCATATGAGCAAGGTCCCAGGAGCTTGTAGGACTCTATTTCCATGTGGTCGTGCACCTCCCCCATAGATCTTGCAATCTTTCCACCCCCTCTTCCACAATTGTTCCTGAGCCCTGGGTGGGTGGAGTTTAATATAAAAATCCTGTCCAAGGACTCATACTCTGCAGACTCTGACTCTCTATGCTTTGGCCATTTGTGACCTTTTATGTTCCTGGCCCTCTGTTGCATGAGGGAGATTCATTAATGAGAAATGAGAGATTCATTAGTGTCCTCTTTACCCCTTGTTCTATGTTCTGTGAGCCTTAGGTGTAGAGGTTGCATTGTATGTGTGCCACTTAGGCCTGGACAATTCACAGATAATGTCTGTGTATGACCAGTTGTGGAATTCTGTAATAGTCTCTGTCTGCTGCAAAAGAAGAAGCTTCATTGATGAGTAGTGACTGGGATACTTGTCTATAAATGTAAGGATTCACATTTTGGACATAGTAAGAAATTACATTTGTCTAGGAATATGACAGTCTTGGGGTTTTCTCTAAAATCTAAGACTTCTCCAGCCACGTGTATTTGGCTAGGTTTACAGTACCACACATCAGTTTTCTCCCATTGAATAATCGGACTTTAAGTCCAATTAGGCATCTGTTGGTTGCTCCCAAGATAAAAGTGTCACTACTGTACCAATGTCATTTGCTTTGCCAGTCATTGATGTGGTTATTAGGCCTTGAAGCTGGGGTTGGACCATCGATTGACGTTCTCCCTTAGCAGCTTGTGTAGTGCTCTCTAAACCTATGAGAGCTAGCCTTCAGGGGAGGTGGCTTCCAGGTCAGTTCCAGCTTCATTGTCCCAAATCCTGTGTCCAAAGTATTCCTTGTTTTCAGCAGTAGGGTCTTACATTCATGTTTTGGGGAAACACCCATAACTTTCATGTCACTATTTCTCTAGTGGGCATATCTTTCTAGGCCAGTCATTGTTGGTACCTATAGAGTTAACAGCTGAGTTGGATGAAAATTACTTTTATCCTCTAGTAGTGTGCATAAAAACTTCTTGCACTCTGAATGTAGCCAGTAGAGATGAAGCATCCATTTGTTTTTTTCTATGTGTTTTCTTCAGCAATAGAGCCCCAATTTCATATTCTAGAGGGTAACCAAAAATAAAGGCAATATCCTGTAACGTTTGGGGGGGTTCTGTCTGTGAGACCCCATTGGCTGGCAATTTGAAGAGAGGTAACCCATTCCTGTTACTAGGGTTCTTATTTGCTAGAACAAGGTGTATAGGTAGGGTATTGTTCCCCATAGGGTAATTCCATTTAGACTCGTTTTATATATGTATTTATTTTAGAAAGCTTCCACAGCAGTGGGTTTCCATATATTTTTCAAAAGGCCTTTAAGAGTTATTTATCCCTACAAACATTCCCCAACCCATTTAATCCTTTCTGTACTGCTTTTCTCCTTTTCCCTTTATGTCACTGTATTCTATAGAGCTTACCTTGCAAAGTCTACCTTCTTTATGGCACCTTACAACTATGTTAACATATAGCATCATTACAATGACACACATGAATCTAAAGTTTCAAACCTAGCATTCACATATATGAGATGTAGTTATCTTTTGGGGTCTGTATTATGTCACTCAGGATGGTCATTTCCAGCTCCATCATTTAATTTCAAATTTCATAGTTTCATTTCTTCTTAGTAGCTAAGTACTATGTTGTGTAGGTGTACTGTATTTTCTTATCCGTTCGCCAGTTGATGGATATCCAG